TGTTTTTCCAATTGTAAATAAAGCAGCAATAAACATGGGGGCACAAGTATCTTTTTCAATCAGTGTTTTTGTGTCTTTTGGGTAGATACCTAGGAGTGGGCAATCCCATGGATTCTTAATGGATGTATAAATTTGCATCATCCTGTTGGGTGGCAATTTGACAATTGCTATAAATAATTGTTAATGCATATACTCTTGGACTCAATTTGTAGGAACTTATACTTCAAAAGGTGAGCAATGACATCAATTCACTAGGATGCTCCCCAGCAGTGGAGATGAGATACATATGTACATCTCTACTCTGTGATAACATAACATAAGCGAAGAGAATGAGGTAACCATATGGAAGGAGAACCTTCCAGAAAGGTTGATCAACCTTAGCTATGCTTTCTAAAAAATGAATCAAGAATAGCACAGAAGCTGCTGTGATTGTCCAAATGCCATGCTTGGTGATGGGATCAAATCTGCTCCTCAGTGAAGTTGATGGTATCATTTGATTCCTCCTAGCTGCAAAAACTAAACAAGTAGCTGATTTCTCTAACTTCAGTTTTCTCCAGGTAAAATGAGACTTCTTACTTTCCTACTTGTTCCGAGAATAACATGAGGGAAGACCCATGAATGTGTCTGAAGGGCACCATAATATACTCTAGGGTCATTCATGCCACTCACATCCTAATTCCATGCAGTCAGGTTGTTTTGGGGAAATGCAGCTCGCCTTCTGTGAAGCAGGACTGTGTGAGCTTCAAAGTCCCGCACCCCTATTCGAGCAACCTCTTCCTAGCAGGCTGCACCTCCGAGGTGGCTGGTTACTTCAACAAAGTGGGGCTGACCACCTTCAAAATTTACCTTTTTCACATTTCATGTGTCTTCACGTTAAAAAAAAAAAAAAAAAACAGCGGTTCCCTGAGTCAATAATCTCTTTAACGTAATGTATCCTGTAAAACTTCGAGGGACAAAATGTGTATGCACGGGGTACAAAAAATACCTCCATACAGCCAACATGCTACAGATATATATGTTATATAAATTCACCAGTGAAGAGCTGACTGTGTACACAAGGCCGGAGAAGCTGTTTCCTTCTGAAATGTTACCATGCTCTCTGGCTGTGTGTGTCTGGAGCAGGTGTTTGCAAGAAGCCTCCTTTTTTTTGATGATGTGATTAAAATCTGCTCTGCTGGGGGTGGGGGGGGGATGAGAATAACTTCTCATAATCTCTTTGGAATAAGATGTTGGTACCTTGGACAAGACGCCCCCTTTCTTGAAGGGAGCATCACTTCTAGTCTTGAATAGAACTGAAAAATAAAAACAGCTGCCCTTTCAGTTCTTTAAAAAAAATAGTGGAAAAAAAATTCCCAGATTAAATTCAGTACAGAAAAAACTTCTAGCATCATAATCTCAGATTTTTTTTTTGCATCTTAACACATCAAGTTCTGCACTCATTGAAAGTGAACTTTAAAAAATCCTTTCACTTATTTAGAACAAATCACTATAATGTGGAGTGAAGAACAGAAACTCTTAGCTGCCTTAATCAATTCTCAAGTTTATCACAGACTGTCTGATTTGGGGCAATGCCTGGATTTTCGCTTTGTCATCCATGAAAGTGTCCTTATTTTAGGAGACTCTAGTGAGGATGAAATGAGATAATACCTAGAAAGTTCTCTGCACAGGGGCGTGGCAGAAGCAGTTCAACAGACAAAAGCCATTAAAACCTCCTGATTTCTGCCTGCTGCTTACCTCAGCAGTGTATTTCAGTTGATCTGTCTGTTCTGCTCCCCACTCTGTCTCTGGTGAATCCTCTCACTGCCCCCCACCTCTGGTCTATACCCCAGTTCTTGAATGCATAAATACATAGATTTAAAAGAAAACCTCATAACTTTCAGTCCAGTATAAGACAGTCCAAATTTGGGTCAGTCAACTTAGATTTTATACAGTTGTTCAAAACATTTTTCTAAAATGCATTTTGTTGACATCCAAAGTGAGCCTTGACTCGGTCAGGGAGCAGGCCCTCAACACTGAACAGCCATTGGCTCTGGCTTCCACTCTCTTCCTGGCAGTGACACACCTCTCCTTATCTGCTTTGGTTAGGAGAATGACGGGCAACAGGAACAAGCGATATATTTCTGCTGATCTCAGGTTTTCTTTCAGTTGGGAACAACTGAGAAGTACAGCTGCAGAGAATATGTCCTCCTAATCAGTGATTTCCTAAAGACCTCTCTCTCTTGATTTGACTGTTGCTTGCTGTTGTAGTGAAATGTTTCAGAGCTTTTGCAGTTTGAAGACACTGAAGAGGGCCCAGGTCCTGCCCGCTTGCTTGTCTGTGTTAGAGTGAGTCATCTGCCGGTCAAGAAGCAGAGTAACTGTGTCAGCCCTGTGCTCTCACGGGGACACGAAGGCCAACTTGCTAATGGCACCATGTGGACCTCAGCACCACGCAGCACTTTCCTCACACTTTGCCTCCCTCTCCCTGCCCCTTTTTTCTTCCTGTCTGGCTTTAAAAAAATGCTTACTTTTTTAGAAAAAAGATTTATTTATTTATGCATATAAGAACTGGGGGACAGGCCATAGGTGCAGAGGGTGAAAGGATTAACCAGACAGAGTAGGGAGCAGCCGGTGGGTCAGGAGAGGTCTGCTACGCCACGTGGGGATCAAACTCGTGCTGCAGAGAGCTTCATAGTGCTGTGAGTTAGCTTGTTGTGCCACCAAATGCTTACTTATAGTAAAAAAAAATTTGTCTTTAAAAATGCAAGCAGCTAACATTTATGGAGGGGTCACTATGTGCCAGACACTGTGATAATCACTGTACACCCATGAATCCACTTTATCCTCCCACCTCTATGAGGAGGCACAATTAATATTCCCATTTTACAGGGATGTGAACAGGCCCAGGCATCTTCGCCAGGCTAGGCAAGGAATGGGGCCAGAATTGGAGTGTTCTGCCTGTGGATACTATGGCCATATATATATATATAATGTATAATATATATATATATATATATGTTTTTTTTCAGTGAGACATTTTAATTTATTTCCATGTCAGAAGCAGAAATAGATATGGATTTTGGGGGACTGATTAAAGTTCGGGTGGGGGAGGGAGAATAGAGATCAGTAGACTCTTCAGCAAATTTTGGTGACAAGACAATACAACAGAAGAAAACCAACTGACATACCTACAAGCTCCCCATTTTCCTTCCACAGCCCCTTCCCAGCCTTTCCCAGAGTCCTGGGTAACTTTGATGTGGGTAGAAGGAACCTGTTCTCAACAGGAAAGGCTGTAATGGGAATAGACCTGGGTGTATGTCAGAATGAGCAGTGTCATGGGGTGTTGTGGTGGTGGTGGGGTAACTGTGTTTTTCTGGGGTGGGGGTGGAGTAACCGTGCAGTTTGGGGTAGCCAAGACTTTACCTGGGAAGGAGGCCTTGTGAGTGAAGATCCAAAAGTAGAAGGGGAAGTGGAGAGGAAGGGCAGGGACCTCCCTGGTGGTGCAGTGGGTTAAAGCGCAGCACTGCAAGCTGGCTGGAGCCTTCCTGCTGGTTCTATCCAGGCTAGGCCAGAGGTGACCCACATGGTGCAGCAGACCTCTCCTGTCCTGCAGCTGCTCCCCTCAGTAGTGCACTCCTCGATCCACCTGTTCTGCCTGTTCTGCTCCCCACTCTGTCTCTGGTGAATCCTCTCATTGCCCCTGTACCTTTGGCCTATACCCCAGTTCTGTATGCATAAATAAATAAATAAATAAAAAGAGTAGGGGACAGGGTGTCTGTTGTACCCTAAGAAGGTGACAGAAGATCATTTATGAAGGCTGTGAGCAAGAATTAAGAACAAGATAGCCATCCCACCATGGAAGCTCAACGGGGCTGCTGAGAGAGGGATCAGCTCTAACTTCAAGATGCAACACCTAGGAGGCACCCTGAAGGGCAGGCTAGCCAGGGCCGTGCTGCTGGGCCTCCTGGGTGAAAAGCGTTCTATCCTGCGAGCTGCCTCCAGGCACGTAGGTGAAGGAGGACACGCACAGGCTGGGCAGGAGGCAGGGCCCTTATCACGGAGTGTCAACAGGGCCTTGGTGATGCAGGACCCAGAGCGCATGGTCCTGGGCGAGTCCCACCTCTCTCCGAGGGGGTGCTTGTGAGTGACAGCAGACACGCCCCCACTCCACGGGAGCCGCGCCCCCTCC